ATGCACTGACAACCACAGGCACTCGTGAACGATCTGAGTGTAAATGGAAAATTTGAGGTCGTCACCTGCGAAACGAGTCGACTTAAGACCGAATCGTCAAAGGTCATTAGTGGCCACTACGATTTCCAAATGGATCGGGTCAGTGGGTACCATGAGAAAAAAGTGCAATTTCTGGCTGATATTCACAAGGCCTGTGAAAAAAATCCTAGAGAATTATGGTGTCAGACTATAGGTGCAACATACCTCAAAAGGCTCATCAATCAACGACCTGCTGGCCTTGTCACTTTCGAGAACATCTTTTGAGAAAAAGAAAAATATTCCCCATAAAATGCCCAATAAGTAGTGTCGAATGTTAGAAGGTAAAAAAGGGGAATTAGAAAAAAGCAAAGCAATCTTCCGTGTGTAGACGAATGCCCAGGTCCTATCTTTTTAGATACATCTTCGAGGGCTCATTTCTATAATAGCAACCAACATTCACAATTTACAGTACTTAACCTCCTTGATTGCCTGAAATGTTGAGAAAGGACCAAACGATAGAGAATCGATCGGAGATCGATTGCTTCTGTGAGAAGTACGAACCAAACGCCTCCGGGCGCTTGCCAGAGAATCAAAAAATCATTCCATTTTATATTTCGACTGTGAAATGAAATATCATCAATATATGGACTTGGGAGTGGTCTGTAAAGTCAATAGAATAATTCTTCAGACATGAACTTGTGATAAACTTGGAGGAGTTCCAAAATAATCAGAAAATTTCTATAAAACCACATAGCACTGAAAATGTGTGCCGGATGTGGCCTTCTCGATAATCTCAATTGTCATCCACCCTGAAGAAATCATGCACGCTATCATTGAGTCATGACTTCGAGAAGAATCAGTCTAGGCGAGTACCTAAAGGGAGAATTCCTTTGTGCCAAGCTAATGTAAGTAACTTTGAAGACACCATGACAACTGCGCGTCTCCAATGGTCTCATCAATCTGTTCGGTAAACGAAAGGCGGGTGATGGCCGTCTGTGAATGAGATGATTTCAAACGCAAAATTAGGGATATGCAATATCCACTACCAATAATTCACACACAGATCCGTTTAATATTTATGTATGTAAAATTACCCTACCATTTCTCCTGATCAAAATCTTTCCGATAACGGGACAGTCGTACCTGGACGGAATAGACGAGAGAGAATGGAAAAGCTTGCACAGTGACATCGATTGGCTTCTTTAAGTCAACACCAATCGATTTTCGTCCGCATTGTCAACAACTGGGTAACATGTCTCTTTTTTTTTGCAGGAGGAAAGTGAAACTTTCAGAAAAAATTCTGGATGGTGTCATCGATAGGGCTATCGGAGCGTGGAAAACGGAAGGTATCATCACTTTCCATACATCAAACATTGCGTTGAGTAGTTAGTACGGAGGTAAACAGTCGTGGACATGTGATACTCGCGCAGCCCGCAGCTGATAATGATATTTATTCGGAGAAAATCATCTGACATTCGTTGTTCTCTTCAATTTCGCTTGCCATTCCTGGAATTAGGAAACCAGTTACTGGAGATATGGCTCTCAACCTATAGTACGGAACATGCCTGTTCCAGGACAACAGAACACGTTTCATAGAGAGAAAATCAAAAAAGTGTCTCGTGCAATCTCAGGTCCTCAGACTGATAAGGAAATGATCCACCTTTCTTATTTCATAGGTTCTTTGCAAAGTGTTTTCAATCAGATCAGCAGGTAAAAGCTGAGCCCTTGAACTTGGGTTGGCTGTTTTTTTGTATTTTTAAGTGTTAGTAATAACGTATGACAGGACAAACGGCATCTACCTACGAGGTCGATCGCTGCCAAGCACTTCATCTTCAATTCATCACTGAATTTATCAATGAAAAATTGTGATAGTTGCAAAACTGTCCATTGCTCTTGGCAAAAACGCTAATCAATGGTTCTAGAAGTTGCGGCTACCAGTTGAGCATCATAGAACGTATGCAAATCGAAGGCAGGTTGGCAAAACTTCGATATGACTGTGTGCCTGTGTAGCTCGGCCAACCCACTCGCTTATCAACGTTGGTCTGCCCATTGTCCCTTCCGTTACAAATCAAGCACCGACCTTTACCTTCAGCTGTTATTGATAGCCACATTTGCGGTAATCTTTTATACTACCTCTCGTTATCGTGTAATCTCCTTTTCTGAACTATTTTGATTGATTTGTCTACCATTCAGCCGTTGGAAATGACAATATCGAAAGATTTCGAGTACAAAGATGCCGACGGCGAGACCATGAAGGGTGTCTTGCACTATCCGAAGTGAGTTCTCGTTACTACGGTGTTCATTTTGAATTTTTTTGCAACCTATTATAATGCTTTAGACTACACTACTTTAAATTTTTTTACCTATTAATAAGAAAAGGGACGTAACGCGAAGCAAAAGCTTGCCTCAGCCGTAATACCATCAGCTTAGCTACATAAGCGATCAGCTGGGGCCATAATATAGGTTATTTAGGCAATGGTTGAGCTAACTAGTAGGAATGCTAATGTTGTTCTGGACCTCCTTGTTACACTCCAGAGCCGTTCTTTAGTTTTGGCCGTATGGATGCAGGCCTAGCTCTTTTTTGGGGCTAACCTAATCCTAGGCTGACGCTGACAGGTCATTCTGCCGGAATATTGTGCTGTGGAGCATCTATTCAGTGCCAGTAGACACTTTATGACTTTTCTATTTCAGAAATATTACTGGAAAGTTGCCAGCTGTTCTTGTTTTGCATGCTTTTGGTGGCTGCGGTGAATTCGAAAGCGGCAGAGCGGCGGCCCTTGCAAATGTACGTCTTGTTCAGAATTTTTACATTAATCGTTACTTTACAAATGGTAGAGAAATAGCCAGAAGAAAGATCTCTATAAGCATAGTAGACAGATTCTTCAATGACACTAAAAGAGTCATTTTCAGCTAGGATTCGTTGCACTAGCTGCCGATGTCTATGGAAAAGGCAAGAAAGGTGGCACGGTGCAGGAAAACTTTGCCCTAATGAAACCACTAGTTGCCGACAGAATGGGTGTTCTCAAAAAACGTCTACTAGCAGCAGTTGAAGCCGTGCGCAGCTTACCTGAGGTGGATCGGGAAAGAGTAAGTTATCAACCTTTGTATCTTGCAAAGACCTTCATTTCCGGGTAAATTCGGTATTGCGAGCGATTTGCAAAAGATCCAGTATACGAGGATTTAAACAGGCGTGGCGAGGTGAACCCGAACAATCACTCTCGACACCTCATAAATGGGCTAAAAGTAGTTCGAAAGCAGCATAAACACTAAAATAGAAGTCTTTCGGGAAGAGAAAATAAAAAATGAAGGTTTGGTCCGGTTAAGAGGTGGAAATAAGGAGGAGTAGGTGCAGTCAACATTAGCAATGTTTCATTACCGCCCATTACTGCCCAATTTTTATCTCTTAATGACTGTCCCAAAAAATTAAGGAGTATAAACCGCTTGAGGCAGTAGTAATAGAATTATTCCATTGCAAAAACGAGAAAGTCAACTTTTTTGCAGATAGGTGCCATCGGGTACTGCTTCGGTGGTCTATGTGCCTTGGATCTTGCACGTCACAATGTCGGCTTGAAGGCAGCCGTCTCTTTCCATGGAACCCTTACACCTATCCCAGATGTCGAACTGGTTCCAGTGACCGCATCCATTCAGGTCTTATCTATTTTCTTTCAACTACAACAGTCTTATAAAGGTCTGTATGTCTAGGTACATCATGGAGATGCCGACATTCACATACCGGCTACTGCGGTAAGGGACTAAAAACTAAAAATCTGAATCAAACGGAAGTTATCACTTCCAGGTTAATGACTTTATGCAAGAAATGAGAACGAGAAAAGCCGATTGGTCATTCACCTCTTACGGAAATGCTGAACATGGCTTCACGGAACCACGTAAGGGCATTCAAAGACTATCACGATAGGATGAGTAATTTCGAGCCTGTCTTCATGTGAAATGATAGAATGCGGTACAGCTCGAATTTTTTGCGACTTGAGGGTAGGGCCATGGAATCCGTCACTCGTAGTTAGAAGGGAATGTTCACTTGGGGAAATTGATTCGATGGTAAATGTACTCTGGGACGGCTCGAAAGGCAACTATTCCCACTTTATAATGAATGACTGATAGCACCAGCCTTTTCCTGTTGCTGAACAATGAATCATTTTAGATATCGGAGAACTTGGCGCACCTGGCGTTTCGTACAACAAGGAAGCAGACCGACGATCATGGGCTGCGACTGTTGCTTTTCTCAAGGAACGACTTGAACACTCATAGCAACAGGCTGCTTATCGCATCATTGTTATTATGGATAAATTTGCAAAGTTTCAAGCTCAAAGAGAAACACATGGGTTCATGAGAGAAAGCTTCGTAGTCCTCACTGAGGCAAAATTTGTTTAAAGTACTTTATGATTCCTGAGGGGAACGCTTGAGAATCAGGGGAAATCATTGTTCACTGCATCGTCTGTCACTGACAAGAAAAATTACCTTACTTCAAATTCATCTGGTTGGATACTGAGAAACGAATCAAGGGTTTATGTGGACAGTAATCCTGCCGCCCTTTCCTACCTGGAGGCTAACGTGATCGCTTTTGGCAAGTCTTATCAAAGGTGAAAGAGGTGGTGAGACAACTTTGAGCTTGATTTTTGCGGTGTGGGTAATGCCATAACCATTTTCCCCCTGACATTCGAGTCTTCAACACCTTGATCATCCCTTCACGAGTAGGATAGCATGCTTCTAATGGCCGACCTTAGGTTTGCGACCCCTGTTCTGGCAATATCCTTAAAATTTGAAGATCTCTCTTCGAATTCTAAGGATATTGCCTAGGAGGAGGCGGACGAGAACACCCGGCAGCTTACTGTACCAGTTACCAAAATCTTCCTAGTAGAACGAACGCATTTCCAAATCCTATCATTTATAGCTGCACTGTGACTGGGACTTTGTATTTTCTTATGAAATCCGTTGGTATAAAAGATTTTTTATTTTTCAAATTTTTCAATTGTTCTTTTACGTGAAGAAATCTTCCGATCATCAGGTTTAAGAGATTTTCTTCTCAGGTAAGCGACAGCCTCCTCAAAATCATCGTTGCGATGTCCACCGTTGGTTGCTCTGTAGGGGAAGATGTTAAACGACTTACGATTATGGACATGATAACCAGTACCTTTGCTTTTCGCTTAGTGCTGTGTGCTCGTCACCGTTTTCATGGGCGACATAGGTGGAAAATGATTTTCTCCAAGCTTTTGACGACTGGTTCGATTGGGTAGATTGACGTCGACTGTGCACGCTTATATTGTCCTGTTCCGTAGAATGGGTAGGAGCGGTGGGTCGAACTACCTGTAACACCACTTTACTAATGAAGAAGTCTCTCTGCATTTTGAAAAGCCTAAGTAACAAAATATGCCCACTTCTTGAGGATCAGGGCATAGAGTGTCAAGAGATTTTGAATTCTCTATGCCCTGATCGAGTATATAAATAGAATCGAGAGTATATTAATAAATAAATAGATAAAATTCCAAGTACCGATTGGTCTTTGACAACGAATGAATGTGATGGGGAGTCGCTTCATCGTCATGCTCAGGCGGCACTGGCTTGAGAAACGCACAAACCACTTGATATCTGGTGTTTTGGGAACTTTGCAGATACTAAGGTGCGCCAAGACACTTGGAATGGTTAGCTTAAGTTAGTGATCCCAGTTCACTATGCGACCCCTCCGATTGATGATTTGCTCCGAAGCTTAGCTCACTGAAGCAGTTTCACCACGACATCTGCGCTATAAAAATCCAATCAGATAGCTTTCTTAGGACCTGAAGCTGCTTATAGAAAACCATTCAGAGACTCCTCTATACCGATCTATCGAAATTCTATTTCAATTGAATATTTCTTCTCTTCTGTACTCAAAGGTGCGTGCTAACGGCATGAATAAGTACATAGGAAAGCCGTCGAACGTGAGCCTCTGGATCCCTTCTTAGGCTACATCAGTAGACTATTGACTTATTGAGTTCCATTGCTGTCATTACCCTAGGTTCAATCACCCATTTAAGACACTCCTTTTTTACCCATACATCATACCCTTGGTACAAATTCGTCTCTTAAGAGACATCTGTTTTCTTTTGGATTTTTATACTGGGCACTTTGCCAATTACCATCCTAAGCA